AATTTTGTTATAACTTTTAATTGAATTCATTTACAATGACTTCGCGACGAATGAAACTAATGGAAGAGTTGGACGAAAAGCGTCAAAAGCAATGGAAACTCAATAAAACCCGAATCGTAAACGAGTCACATCTGAGCCACAAACTGAGTGTCGAGATATGCCCGCCAATAGTGGAGGTGCCGACAGCCGGCACAACCAGAATCGATTTGGAGGCCATTGCACCCAAACCACCGCAACGAGTGGTGAAAGCGAAGAGTCTGTACAGCAGGACAATAGCGCCCAAAGACTTCGACATCATAGGGAACGGTAGGCCGTCGGGCAAGATAGACAGCGCTGGAAGTCATTTAAACCTGAGACACGCCGTACGACAGACGCAGCGCATAAAACTGATGCTCGCGCTGGACAGGTATGAGAAACCGCTCGGTTCTGTCAACACGCAGGCCATCGCCCAACGCATTGAGGGCATGATCTTCAAGGTGCTCATGAATGACGCCAAACAGTACAGACAACAGATTCTTGCGGTCAAACGATTCATTCTCGACCGCAAGAATTGGTTCAGTCATGTTCGGGATATGCTGTTGGGCCGCACCCACCCCGAAGACATTGCCCTTTTGACTAAAGACCCGCAAATGACTCAAATAATCGCTCTGAGGATGAAGTGGAGACTGAAGGACGAGAAGTGGAAGGTAAAGCAGTTGAAGAAAGCTATGAAACCACGACTCCCTCCCACATAACTGTCCACTCCATACATGTTACTATTATTCTTGACTTTAATTGACTATTGTTTTCAATATTTATTGAATTTTTAACGCTGATTTTAACTTATTTTTATATTACTTTGATTTTTATGTTAGTTATAATGAATTTGTTTACTATTTGTTAAATTGTTAGTTAGTTATCAAAGCTTTTCATATTATGTTAAATTCAATGCATTTGTATAGTATTTGCTTTTTTAAAAGAATTTGTTTATTACTTTTCATTGACTATGGCTTTTTAGCTATTGATTAAGTAAATAAAATTATAAGAATTATCATACTTAAGAAACAGGTAGAATATAAGTGAAATTATTGATTTTATGTTAATATGATTTATCACTGATAATTATGGTAACTTATCACTAACTTGTCAAATAAACTAATACAGTAATCTATGGCATAGATTCTATGTCATAATGTAGGTCTTGTCATGAATTAATAGTTTATACAGAAGCGGTCATATATTTAGTCACATAATATTATTGTTATTGTTAATTGACCGCTTCTGTACAGGTATTGATTTTGATACTACAGATATAAAAAGTATATCAAATTGGAGACTATTGATAAAAGTTAAATTCAGTCATATCGCCGGTGAGGTCCTAATCCCATGGATGTTAAACGGGACCTTACAATAAGTTGCTAAAATAATTATTCATGCCAAGATTGTATTGCAATAAAACTGTTCTATTCATTAGCAAAATGCTATCAAATATGCAATACTTGTGTGAAACTTAATTCTCAGAATATTTTTACGGATAAGTTGTCGATTCGGATATAATAAACAAAACTGAAACCAATATTAATATCTTTTAAGTAATAAATTCCTCTTTCAATTAGTGCTTCAATGCAACACTTATTCAGTTACACTATATTCTGTTATTCTGTATATGGGAACAGTAGACTAGGGTACAGGGTACAGTATTATAGTGTTCACTTAATAACACTAAAAAGGGAAAACACTGCTAATTGTTTCATTATAATTGGCTGACAAACTATGTTTATATATATTTGTGTGCATTGGACCAGACATACAGCCGTCCCTGTCATCCGTCCCAATTACAAAGTATAAAGACTTGGATTACGGATTGTGTTACACAACCACTTGGGTGGACTCCACGCCATGCACTTCATAGTCACCACTCATTTATGCATAAAGTCATGTTATCTCTTAAATATATCACCAACTGTTCATAAAATTCATATAAATAATCAAACATAATTGTAAGTTATTTGACAGTAAAATAGCCTCATAAGCAATACATGCTTATTATCGGAGTTTACCAACTTTTTTCAATGTTTTACCAATTTTAATTTTAACGCATTTTGCATATTATGTGCTTTGTTTGCAAACTTTTTTTACCAATTCATTTGTTTTAATCGTAAGTATTACCAAAATTTAAGCCATATGTTTAAATCTCTTATAATTCGCATTAACTAATGAAAGGATTAATGATTTACTGTTAAGTGGATTATTGATAGAAAGTAGCGGTGAAAGTAGTTATCGTTGTGTAAAATCTATGCCTAAAATATAGTGCAAAACCATGAAAAGCATTCATTCATTCCCATTATGATATAAATTGACGAAATACTTTCAGTGCGCATGTGTTAAATGCAATACCAGTTTAGACCCTTTTGTGCTGACGGTTATGCAGTTATATCGTATGTATAGTGTATGAAATGGTTAGAAACCTTCCCTCAAGTTATAGCACACCTTAACTGTTGACGAAAAGAAAACTAAAAAAACCTAATTTTTGATTCATTTTTGAATGAATGAAGTGTTCAATGGATTAGTTTTGACTGCATTTCAGTGACTCTTATGTGCTGTCAATGTCACCAATGATTGAGTAATCATTTGATCCGTTTATCACTGGTTTACTGAATGTCTTGTTTTTATCTAATCTGCAGATCAGAGTCGATATGCGGACATCGGGTCAACGACTCATTGCCATAGACTTGGATGCACTCACAGACTATGACACTGGCACTGACGCTGACGAGGAATACAGTGAACCTGTTGTGTCCGTCACTGACAAAGACGTTGAGCCCAACGATAGCGTGACAAGTGATCCCGAAATGATGAAACCAAGTGGTGATAATGACAGTGACATGAATGGTGGTCGAGTGAAAGACACGACTCGTGAGCAGAGGTCTGATTGTGAGTCAAACACTGGTCACAAGAGTGTCAAAATAGACACGAGATATAGAAAAAGACAAATTGATTACAAATTGGTGGACAAGAGGACGGGTATCTGGATGTCTGACCAAAAGTCTGTGCTCTTGAATGAGACGCCGCCGGAAGCCATGGAAGTGCGGATCGTTTGCTTCCATTGCGAGAAGAGATACCAGTCTATGGCTGACTTCAGACACCACTACAAGAAGAGACACTTTAAGGACAACAAGCCGTGCGCTGGAGTCAAGCTGAAGCTGATCCCCAAATCGGTGGACAAAACATCGACACATAAACACAAACACA